CCCCCCCCCCCCCCCCCCCCCCCCAGTAAATCGTATAGGATAGTGTTTGAGTACCAGGGTCGGCAACCACTGGTTCAAAGTACAGATTTAGGGGAAATTGATTTCATAAGCGTATTAGGAGTTTCCAATTTCCCTCAAAAACTTGTGTTTTTGTGGCTTTTATTGCGCAAATGAATAAACTGAACTAATCTTAGTGTGCTATGCTATTTGGCTAAATCATTAGTACTCATTTGGTGAAATGTCTGCGATTTAACTAATGGAATTGTGACAAGCACTTTGGATTGGAATGAAGCAGCACAGCTTTATATGTAGGGTTTCACATTATTTGACCCTTTATGCTCTTTAACTGTTAGGAATAACATTTATAAAATGTCTTCTACAACTAGACAAGTTGATTCTACTTATGAATTAAACATTTTAGCTGCTTGGTACCTGGGGATAAAAAGGAAGTGAAATAGTAGAAAATCTCAGAGTCCCTCTTTCGTCCTGTGAAGCCAACTATAGAGCCAACGTCGAGAGGGAAGGTCCTCAGCTCCTCCCCTGAGCTCAGACGGTACATCTTCAACACGTTCTTCACATCGTGGAGGAAACACACAAACAGATAGCTGGAGTATGTACAGGTGGCAAAGACTGTGGGGAAAATACAGCAAAGACAACAAAACAGAGCGGATTAGCTGGTATCAGCTAAAGAATGATAATGTTTTCTTGTAGCTTGGTCACCAGTTTTCTAGTAGCTCACCAATAACATCTTTGTCGTGTTGAGGAATAAGCTCCTTCCAGTTGTTCTGATCAGGAGAGGCAAAATCGATGTTGATGAGTCTGTAACGCGGGGCGTTTAAGTTGGTTTTGAAGGTAAATAACGTGCCCTCGTTGGTCACGTATTCATACTCGGCATCAAAGTTGTCGATTAACTTCACCCATGGCAAAAGTCCTAAACGTTAAGTTTAAAAAAATTAAGTTTTAATGTAAGAATTGAACAAAACCACAATTCACAAAATAAACGAGGAAGAGCTTAATGGACTTGACAGGTTGTTTAAAAGGAGAAGCATTATGTCACCGTTTTAAACCAGAACTGGATTTTCTTAGTTTTTTGTTATAAAAGCATAAGAAAAGTTTTTTTTTATTTATTTTACAAAACTTTCTAAATGACTTTTAAAAAAAGCTTAACATGGTGGTTATTAAAAAGAGAAAACATTTATACCTGTAATGCCCTGAGGAGTAGTTTCCAGGTCACAGTACCACAATCTGTTGACAGGATCACAACCCTCTCTGATCAACAGCAACACATAACGCCCATCATCTGATACCTGCAAGTAATTTATCACTAACATTTAATGTAAATCAAGGTGAACACAGTCTAGCTGAGCCTCTTGTACTGTGAGACATACCTCAGCTCCGCACATCCATTTGGAATGGTCAGGAAACTCGGCACACAAGACGTCCTCGGACTGCGGCGTTCCCAAAACATGAAAATACAGCTTCTGGTGCAGGTTAGTGGACGTCTCAGTGCCTGAAAGGCACAACAGATCACAAACAGCATTATTTTATGTGATGAAATGAGAACGGTGAAGATCACAAATAGGCCTGTCACGATAACAAATTTTGATGGGCGATTAATTGTCTCAGAAATGATTGCGATAAACGATAATATTGTTTGAAATTTAACAATAATTAATTGTCAAATTTTAGAAATGTTCCATTTGTTTGGAGTGTAGTACCTTTTTTGACCACCTGATGGCAGTATAAGACTGTTTGAACCAAAGGATGATAGTTGACGTGTTGCTTTAGGAAAAATGGGAGGGAGGGCCCTTGGTGACATGGGCTGACATGGTGACATGGGCTGACATGGTGGCATGGCGAATGCTCGGTGTGGTTTGAGCTCTTTACCATAGCATTTTTCACACAAAGCTTTTAATAAAAAATATCAGTAAATAAGTTAAGTTAAGCTTCTTTTTGCAGAGAAAAACAACTTTTTACACGAAGGCACAAATTTCAAACGTGAATTTTGGAGCGCGACAAGATGCGAGGTTTATTCCGAGGTCAGCCTGTTAGCTTAGCTCGTAGCTTAGCTTCTCAGCTTAGCCGCTTTTAACGATCCAAAAAACGCGATTATGGACGGTTAAAACAGATTTTAAAGAGAAAAGAGAAAGGAAGGAGTCAGTAAAGAGCGCCGGAGTTGAGCCGCGTCTTCAGTAGAAAGAGAGGGACACAAAGAAAAGATAAAGCCAATAAATGAAAATGAGGTCGATAATTTTCATTCATCATGCGATTGATTTATTGTTTATCACGACAGGCCTAATCACAAAACTGATTTGGGTCAGTGTGGATCGCAGAGCAGCTCTATAGGATCCAAGCATTAGACCAGACTATTTAACATCTATTAGAATATACAAAAAGCCAGATTTGAAAAAATAGTAATAATATTTTAATAATAACAATATTAAATATTAACATTGTTTTCCAACGAGTCTTTGTTTTTACATTTACCAACATCTAAAAACATTGCATTTGTAATAGATCACAAGTGTCTCTGTATTTGTCCCATCTTACCGTCACTTTTGCCCTCTTGCTCAGGATAGGAATTGTAAAAAAGACCCTTTCCATCATGAGTCCAGGACATGCAGCTAAATTTGACTCGCTCCAGGCGGTCTTCTAGGGTCGTGGCACCCTCAACCCGCAAGAAGTGGATCTCCACCCAGTCAGACCCACTGGCACTGGTACCGTATGCAAGGTACTCCCCATCCTCAGAAAATGCATACCCTTTAAGTAATAATTAAAAAAAATATATATATTTAAGCATAGTTCACCAAATATGTTTAGCTTTATTTTAGCTAACAAAATAACATATTTAACAGGATTATAGATGCAGGTATTTTAATCATAATTACAATCTTTGTGTCTCAAGTGTCTTTGAAAAAAACAATACAGTGGGATTCATAATGTGTACAACTCCTCCCGGGAGTTAATAAAATAGTATATAATTAAATGAGCTCCATAATAACTAAGTAATTAAAATACATATATAGTGTTTCCCATAGATACCTCGAAGGGCAACAGTCCCATCGTCAGAAAATGTGTTTGGATCCAAGAAGACTGTAGGCTCAGCATCTAGACTCTCCTGCACATACATCACACTCTGGTTCTGGAGGCCTGTGTTGTAGAAGTGAAAGTACCTAGAAACATGGAAACATGGAGAAAAGCTTCAGCAGAGCATGCACAGGCTGGTTCAGTTCAGTCATAACTGGAGTGTGCACATCCTGGGGCAATCAAGGACAAAAACAATATTTTCAATGCTAATGTGAGAAACATGTGAATTCAGATATACCAAAGTTACCAACGCACTAAAAACAAACTGACGAGCCCAACAAGCCTTATTTTATTTCGACAGTATACATTGCATTATTATTACTATTTTAACACGTTCATGCACATTCCTCTTTAATTAATATGCCCATTTGAAACAACGGGGGTTATGGGGGAGAGGGAGCACACCACATGAAAGCACAAATAGTGGATCAGTTAGGTACAGAAACTCTACAGAAAAAGTCTTTAGTGTCTTACAAGTAGCTCTTTTTGTACAGGGCTAGATAATGTATTTTTATGCTAATATGAGCTAAACAGTTTATCTGTTTACAGAAATCAACAAATAACCTGATTTGAGTTTATATTTAGGGTTCCAGCTATAATAATCAATAAAAAGCACCTTCATTCTTTTGATTGATTTTGTTCCTGGCGATATTCCAGAGAACAAAAACAAACAAGACATCCTTAGGCAAAACTATTTAATTTAATTTGTTGAAAGCAACCGATTACCACTGAATAATTACTGAACTGTAAAACATATAAGAAATCGATCATTCTTTTAAAGAATGGTGTTTCACTTTTAAATGTTGATTAAAGCCTCTAAAAAATATAGCAGTTAATCTACATTTTAAATCACACAAAACATAACTATTTTTAAAATAAAAAACCTCTGTTTAATTAAAAACTTGCTATGATTCTTTGCTAAAAAACCTTAAAGACGAACCCTGTAGAGCTGTAGTATTTCATCCCACTTAAATATCAAGTCTGTGTGTCCCAAGACCACAGTGCTGACGCTGAATCAAGCACTGACTAAAACAGCAATACATAACCTCCGGCAATATTCAATTATTAAATTGTATTTTCTTTTGATTTGCTGTGATATTTTCTCAATTCCCAAACTGTTGTGAAAACTAAATGGAAATACGCGAGTATCATTTTAAAATAGTTTGTACAATTCATAACAAAAATGGAAGGCATGTATTAACAATTATGTTGAATTACTTTACAGTACGCCTCTTTTGAGCAGCCATGGTGCAGTGACAGCGTGGAGCATTTCACAAACCATCGCTGTGTCCCACAAGACAAATGATATATATGGGAGGTTTCCTCACCTGCTTCCCCTCTTAAAAGGACAGCTGTACTTGGGGTAGTCATAGAGCTCAGTCATCCGCTCCTTGAACAGATCTCGCACCTCACATTCTTCTAAAAACGGCAACGTCAGCTGGTTCTGAGCGTTGACAAAAGCCTGGTGGGAGAACGCAAACAAAACATTGCTGAACATCACAGCAACATCATCTCAGTAACTAGACCTTCTTGTAATCTTTTAAAGCGGTCCTGAACATTTATTTAGGCTTTTTGAAGTGTATTTTCCTTTGGACATTCGCTGCTTTAATGCACTTCTTCTTTCGGCTTTTCCCTCTTCAGGGGTCGCCACAGTGAGTCATCCTCCTCCATCTCACTCGGTCCTCTGCATCCTCTGTCCTCACTCCAGCTACCTCCATGTCCTCTCTAACTGCATCCATATATTTTCTCTGTATTTTTCCTGGCAGCTGCATTTCTAACATCCTTCTACCAATATACCCACTGTCCCTCCTCTGGACATGTCCAAACCATCTCAGTTTGGCCTCTCTTAACTTTATCTCCCAGTTGTTCAACCTGTGCTGTACCTCTGATGATCTCATTCCTAATCTTATCAATCCTTGTCACTCCTAAGGAGAACCTCAACATCTTCATTTCTGCCACTTCCAGTTCTTTCTCCTGTCTTTTCGTCAATGTCTTCAGACCATACAACATAGCCGGTCTCACCACTGTCTTGTAAACTTTTCCTTTGATCTTTGCTGCCACCCTTGTGTTGCAAATCACTCTTGAAACTTTTCTCCATCTATTTAATTCTGCCTGGACTCTCTTTTTCACCTCTTTACCACATTCCCCATTTTCCTGGACAGTGGACCCCAAGTACTTGAAGTCCTGCACCTTTGTGACCTCTGCTCCTTGTAGCCTCACTGCTCCACCAGCCTCCCTCTCATTCACACACATACTCTGTCTTACTACGGCTGACTTTCATTCCTCTTCTTTCAAGTGCATACATCCACCTCTCCAAGTTATCTTCCACCTGTTCCCTGTTCCCACCACAGATCACAATGCCATCTGCAAACATCATAGTCCATGGGGATTCCGTCTGTTAGTCGGTGACCTCACCTGTTAGTCATTATGCCTGAACGCACAATCTTGTAGATTTGCATTGTAAAGCAAGAACACACCTTTCAGTTAAAAACTAGTTAATGATAACTCAGCTTTCTGGAACAGGCACCTGCCACACGTTTTATAAACAACGAAACCTGGGTTGTGACACTTAAACAACTTAAACAATTAAAGCATCACATCACCACCTTGAAATAAGGTAAATTGAGGTTACAGCTGATTATGACTAAGACAAATATAGTCTTGGCCAGTGATTTTACAGCTGATAAGACTTTACCTGTGTCTTTTCACTGTCAGGATCCTCCAACCAGCTGTACGGATCCGGTACTTTGACGCAGTGATAGTCATCCACCTGAGTCGGGCGACACAGTTAGGAGTTATTAAATTGTAAACCAGTGAGCCGCGGCTACAGAAAAAAAAAACCAGATCCCGAAAAATACGACAATGTTAAATTTGTGAGAGTTAAAGAAAGTCATATCTGCTACATTTGTTCACACAGACAGTGAGCGGGTCTGAAAGCTAACTAGCATGCTAACAAAGCAAACGCTCGTTTCAATGAATGAAAACGTTTAATGAGACAACCCGGCTAAATATAGCCAGCTAGGCTAGTTAGCATGTTCCGTTTACTTACAACTGCCTCGTCACGGTAAGCCTGGGGATACTGAAAAGACATTTTGGACGTTAGCTTTCGAGAGTGGCGTAACACTGAAAGTTTCCTCAGTGTGTGTAGCAGCCGTTTTGAAATTATTTTATGGACGCTGTGAATCATCAACTTCAAACGCTGGAGATTTTGTCGGAGGTATAGCGTCAGCGAGATGCCCCCGCTTAAGGGAAGTACGGAGCCCGGGAGGGGACATGGTGGATTTGTTTTCGTTTTAATGTCAGCTCAAATTTTACATCGCCCCCTGTTGCCGAACAGAAAAACAACACCTTCAAGTTAAAAGAAAAAGTTAGAGTTGTAAATTAGAAGTGTACGAGGCAAAGATGTAGATGGCGTCCACTTCAAATTAAAGGTGAGGCTGTGGCTACAGTGTGTTGGTGATGAATCTCAGCTACTCCCACCACATTTTTTAGCTCAATATCTAAAAATGGCCATTTTTGTGTTGCTAATGTTGATTAGCCGTGGCGGCCATCTTGAATTGGATTAAAAATGTTCTTTTGTTTATATACGCCCACTTATTATTTTCCAAGACTTTTGTTAAAATCTAGTGGTTCATGAGATGTTTTTTGTAACACTAAAGCTTTAAGCATGTGTTGGGGATGACTCTCGGCTACTACCACACCAAATTTTAGCTCAACATCTGTAAAACTGTCAGATTTATTTGCTGTTTTCTAAGATGGTTATAGCGGCCATCTTGAATTGGGTTGACTCAGAAATATAACCAGTTGTTATATCTAACAATAATTTTATGAAAAGTTTCATTCCAATCCATCCAGTGGTTCTTGAGATATTCAGCAAATACAAGTAGTTGACTCCAAATAGTTAATGACAACATTTTAAACAAAAGTCTTGTCCAATCTGTAAGTACTCTTGATATGAGTTGATGATCACTCTCAGCTACTACCACACAAAATATTAGGTCAGTATCTGTAAAATGGACTAAGTTATGAGCATTTTTGTGTTTTTTCATGGTTAGTTAGATGTAGCAGACATCTTGAATCAAGCTGACTTGAAAGGCTAATTGCATATTTTACTAAAAGTACAGGGCCACTGCAGGTGACTGTATTCTTACGGTTTCCTTTCACCATTTGACACCTCAAACTTCCTGTACAACTCAGAGTCCTGTCATCTGCAGAAATACTCCGATAACTTCGTAGTAGTGAGGCGTGTCAGAGGCGGACAGGAGCCTAAATGCAAGGAAATGATGGAACACTTTAAGCTATAATGTTAAAACAATCACATTATTTTGGACATGAACAGGACTAATAGGTTAATATTTCAAGATATAATGGAGGATTTTAGAGGGATTAGAAATTATGACTCATGAAGGTCAATCTTTGGCCTTTTGTCATTATATTGTAGCTGTAATACAGTTTAAAAGTTTAAACTGCTTCTACTTTCTGTTTAACTATTTTTCAGGTAGTCTTAATCAATTGTTATTCTAAGGTTTCTGAATACACCAAAGAACTCTTAATCAAGACTACTTTGAATGATTAAAAAAATAATAATAAAAATTGGCTCCTTGAAAGCAAAATGTTTAAAAAAAATTAGGGTTGAATGGAGATTTTGCCCAGTACGGTACACCAACAAAAAATAATCCATTTTAAACATTACTCAAGTTTCCTTTAACTGATTAGTTTCTGGTTGTTTGTTTGGATTTAAAATGTGTCATATTTACTGTACATGTCCCAACTTTTTAAGAAATGACGTATGACAAAAGGCATTCCAAACAAGTTATTTAATAATTCAATCCAGTTCATTTTATTTATACAGAGCCAAGTCACAACAGAAGTCATCTCAGGGCACTGAACAGAAACATTCATATATAAAAATAATAATTTAACATTATTTATCTGAGGAGCAGCTGCTTTGAGTTTAACTCCATCACAGAACTCTCATCTTGAGCAAGCATGAAGGCGACAGTGGAAAGGAAAAACTCCCTCACGAGGAAGAAACCTTTAACAGAACCAGGCTCAGGACAAGCGTCCATCTGCTTCATCCAGCTAGGTTTGAGAGGAACAGATACACAATGGCAGGTCAAAAATCACATGTTAAAATAGAAATAATATCAAATGAAAACTATTCAATATTAGTAAATGATTTAAGGAAATGAGGTCTATTTGTCTTCTAGTAGTCTAAGCTTAACATGACAAGCTAACCCTAACTATAGGATTTATCAAAAAGGAAAGTCTTAAAACTGGATAATGTGTCAGCCTCACGGACAGAAACTGGAAGTTGGTTCCATAAGAGCGGAGCCTGATAACTGGAAGATCTTCCTCCCATTCTGCTCCTACAAACTCTAGAAACGGCAAGTAAACCTGCAGCCTGGGGGCGAAGTGCTCTGTTAGGAAAATATGGAACAATAAGATCTCGAATATAAGATGGAGCTAGGTTGTTGAGAGCTTTGTAGGTTAGAAGTAAGATTTTGAATTCAGTTCTGGATTTGACAGGGAGCCAATGGAGAGAAGCTAAAACTGGAGACATATGATCTCTCCTACTAACTCCAGTTAAGACTCTGGCAGCAGCATTTTGGATCAACTAAATACTTTTTAAAGAAGTATTTGGACACCCAGATAACAAACCATTGCAATAGTCCAGTCTAGATGTGACAAATGCATGGACCAGTTTTTCTGCATAATTTTTAGATAAGCTGTTTCTAATTTTAGTGATATTACACATGTGGAAGAACGTGGTTCTAGTAATGTTTTTAATGTGGGGACTAAAAGACATGTCCTGATCAAAAATAACACCAAGATTTTTAACATTAGAGCTGGAGGACAGATTAATGCCATCCTAGGAGGGAGAAAGACTGAAAAATTAATTCCTAAGGTGCTCGGATCCAAAAACCAAGACCTCAGTCTTGTCTGTATTTAAAAGTAGAAAATTAAGGGTCATCCATGTTTTTATATCTTTAAGACATGCTTGTAGTCGAAGTAGCTGATTGGATTCATTGGGTTTCATGAAAAAATATAACAGTGTATCATCAGCATAACAAAGAGAATGTATCCCATGCTGTTTAATAACGTTACTTAATGGAAGCATATATATATAAGGTAAAAAGTATTGGTCCAAGCACTGAACCCTAAGGAACTCCATGACTAACTTTGGTGTATGAAGAAGATTCATTATTTACATTTACAAATTGGAATCTATCAGATAGACATGATTTAAACCAATTTAGAACCATTCCTGTAATTCCAATATTATTTTCAAGTCTCTGTAATAGAATATTATGATCAGCTGTATCAAATGCAGCACAGGACCAGTGTAGACACCTGTCCATTGTCAGAGGCCATGAGAATATCATTGGTAACTTTCAACAGTGCAGATTCAGTGCTGTGGTGAGCTCTAAAACCTGACTGAAACTCTTCAAACAGATTATTTCTTTACAGATGATCACGTAACTGACCAGCAACTATTTTCTCTAGAATTTTTTTTAATGAAAGTTAGATTAGATATAGGTCTATAAATGGCTACGATTCCTGAGTCATGGTTATGTTTCTTAAGTAAAGGTTTAATTACAGCAATCTTAATGTTCTGTGATATATAACCATTTGTTATTATTTTTCATTAATGTTTTTGTTAACTTATTATTTTTATAGATGAATGTTTCTGTTCAGTGCCCTGAGATGACTTCTGTTGTGACTTGGCGCTATATAAATAAACTGAATTGAACTGAATTGGAGACAAATTGAGCAGATCCAAGACGTGATTATTAATTAAGGGAAATACGTCTTTAAATAGCCTGGTTGGGATGGGATCTAGTAGACGTGGATAGTTTAGATGAAGCTATTAGTTTTGACAATTTAGAGAGCTCAACAGTGCAAAAACAGTCCAAACATAAATCAGGTTCTAGTGACATTTTTCAAGTTGTCTCATCTGATACAGAACCAGAGTCGATAATAGGAATATTGGTTTGATTTTTTTTTTCCCCTAATTGAAACAATTGTATTTATAAAGAATCTCATGAAGTCATCACTGCTTAAAGTTGTAGGGATACATGAATCAACAGAGATAGCATTTTTCATTAGACTAGCTATGGTACTGAAAAATAAAAAAAAATAAAGCAAAAATAAATAATAAGAAAATCCAAACTACGTTTAACATTTAACTGTTAGGATTTTTAAGTTTTTGAGAGTAAACTTGTAAACACTCCAGTTAAAGGTCACGCTGAGGATCTCCATCACTACTCTTATCTGGGTGACAATGAGGAACAGAGAGGTCAGCTCTGTGTTGTTCTTTCTTTCTACTCTTCGTCCTCCCCTCCCTTCCTTCCTCCTCTTCTTTAATCAATCAGTGCTGTTGTGACCATCATTATCTCACGCGATGACTGATAGCAGAAGATAAGGCTTACTGAGGTAGTGAAAAACTCTACGGAAGTGATCAAATCTGTTGGGGCAAATCAAAGGAGGGTCCGTAGCTGTTGGGGTTTCTGATATTAAACTTTCTACTGACTGCTAAATAAACTAATAATGATTTCAGCAACATTGTTCATCTGCGAGTTGTTATGGCAGCAAAAAAATCTTGTTCCTTGAAGTTACTGTTGGGTTTATTTTTATCGGATACGCTAAATTCTTGGTGTTTGTCACACAACAGAAATGTTGATAAGATCGTTCATACCTGGCGTGTTACACAGCTGCACTTCCATCGAAATGAAAAAAAAAAACATTGCTCAAATGCTGCTTCTGATCACATTTCAAGATAACTTAGGAAATTTCTGTCTTTTTACTTTTACATTCAAATTGTCAGATCTTTTGCCGTTGAGCCGGAAGTTCAGCAGAAGAGTAGGAAAGATTCTTATGTGGGATGACTTTACGTTTAAAGAGGAGTAAAGGAACAAAAACAAATTTGCAAATAACCCATATTTTATTAAAAAACTGAACACAACGTATCAAACTTAGATATTGAACCTTTGTTTGGGGAGGTAGTTTTAAATGTTTATGGCAGCAACGCATGTAAAGGCAGGGACAAATCATTGTCTGCCATTCACAAATGCAGGTTAAAGCTCTATCATACAAAGAAGAAGCCATTTGGGAACACCATTCACAAATGCTACCATCTTCTTTGGGCCTAAGCTCATTTAAAATGGATTGAGGTATCTGTTCTGTGGTCAGATAGGTCAAAATTTTAAATTATTTTGGAAACCACAGATGCTGCGTCCTCCATACTATATTAAAA